ATGAGGTTTTAATGGTAACAATGTTTATTAACCCATCAACGGCTGGTGTTACGTTTACGTAACGGCCGCGTCCAACTCTATTTTTATGGCTCGGTCGCAACTTCAAAGCGAAATGCGATTATAGTTTATGTTAAGCAGTTGTTAAATAGTCATACAAGCGGTGGCATTTAAGAGTTTTTTGAATTTTAATTTAATATCTCTGGTAAAAATTGTTGAATTTGAAGAAATGTTATAAGTGATCAGAGCATGGACTTTCATCTAGAGTAAGTACTGACAAATATTTATTTATATGATAAAATTCAAAGTAGCAGCAAGTAAGACTAAACAAATGTTTCAACTTCATAACCGAATAGTAATCTTGTAGAAAACTTGCATTGTTTTGTTGTTTTGTAGATTTTTTTTAACCGTTACGTTATTGTAACGCTAGCCAGTTGAGGGAGCAAAATAATTAGAAATATTATTTTTATTCTAGGCGCGGTTTCACTCTTGAAGAGGCTCTGAATATGGTTTATGAGGATGATATCGACGTTAGAGAGATTTTTATAGAGCCTCCAGATGCAAATGTCCTCACGGATGAGGACTCTGGTGAAGAGGATGATGGCGGCATGATTGATAATCTCAACAGACAACAGCTATCAGCTCATGTTGATGTCAGAATTCACAGCGGAGAGGAGAATGTTCAATTTGAAACTACTGCTAGTGTAACACAAGAGATAGTAGAGCGACCAGGTAAAATCGAAATAAGTTGGGTTGACGGAGACCTTATTCCTTCACCAAGAGAATTTCCAAAACAAGTAGACCGATTTTCGAATATGCATTTGTCCCCTGTTGAAATGTTTGAAAAATTTATAGATGACCAAATTGTTCAATTTCTTGTCGACCAATCAAATAAATATGCATTATTCTTGAATGACGCAAATCCAAAAATAACATGCGATGAAATGAAATGTTGTCTAGCTATCCTTATTTTATCAGGCTATGCTGAATTACCCGGTAGAGACTTTTATTGGGATTCCAATGCTGATATGAGAAACCAAATGGTGAGCCAAGCTATGCGCAGAGACAGATTTCGGCAAATAATAAGATATTTACACTGTGCGGATAATACAAAACCTAACCAATCAGATAAAGCATGGAAACTCAGGTCTCTTATGGATATGATAAAACAAAAATTTATGGAAAATTGGATTCCAGAAGAACACCTAGATTTTGACGAGTCGATGATAAAATATTTTGGACGCCATACCTGTAAACAGTGCATTCGCGGGAAACCCATAAGATTTGGATATAAGATGTGGTGTTTGAACACACCATCAGTTTTGATTTATACCAAGGAAAAAAATCCAAAAGGGTACAGCACTTTTGAAAAGGAATTTGGAATAAATATAGCGCCAATGCTAGGCATGATTCACGAGTTTCCTGAAGCTGTAAGAAAATTTCCATTTAAATTTTATTTCGACAATTTGTTCACTGGTTTCAATGTTCTGTATTATCTGAAGAATAATGGATATGATGGAACGGGAACAATTCGTGAAAACCGCATACCCAAGTCTTGTCCACTGATGAAAAATAAAGATTTGAAGAAGCAAAACAATAGAGGCGATTACCATTCCATAATTGATAGAGATGATGGTATTATTATCGTAAAATGGATAGATAATAATGTCGTCGCTGCGGCTTCCACGTGTCATGGTACAAATCCAACTACCAGCGTAAAAAGATTTTCTCGAATGGAAAAAAAGACCATCAGCATTAGCCGTCCATCACTTATAACGGAATACAATCGTTTCATGGGTGGTACTGATCTGTTGGATGAAAATACTGCCAGATACAGAATAAGTATTAGACGCAAAAAGTGGTGGTGGGCAATTTTTACCTGGCTGTTGGACGTTTCAGTGGTAAATGCATGGAATGTTTACAGACAACGTGAAAATATTTCGCAATTGGTATTTAGAAGGCAGATAGTTCAAACATATCTAACTAAATATGCAGTTCCTCCTAAAAGTGCAGGAAAGCCCGCAGTATCACGATCCAGCGTAAGTCTGAACAGAGTATCAGATGATTTGAGATACGATGGCCGCAACCACTTGCTTGTGCCAAATGAAGGAAGGAAAAGAAGAAGATGTGCCGGTGAGGGCTGTACGTCCAGTATAACTAAATGCCGAAAGTGTGATGTAGGCTTATGTATAGAGTGTAATGAAATTTTTCACAATAAATAAGTTTCTGGTGTCACATTACGCTAGCGTTACGTTACGGTAACAGTGATTTTTACTTAAAATATACGACTTTTTTCAATAATATTTTTTTATTTCTGTTAAATACCTACGTATAGTTGCCTAAATAATACCTTTTTATCATAAAATTCAAAAAAGCAAATTTCGCCGTTAAAGGGTTAATAAATATATAATTCTCCAAAATTATTATTTGAAAATTCTTTTTCCTGTATTTTTCTTGTAATCTTTCAATAGAATCAAAAAATACAACTGGGAATGGAAATTTTTGAGTTCAACAGTTATATAAAAAACTTTTTGTTCCTTTGCAGACTGAAAAAAATTTAAATAATTTAGGCAATAAAAAATATAAAATTGTAAAATATTTTTTTTAATTTATATTTAATAATTAAACATACAGGATGATGCCCAATTAGTGTGTGGAAGTCCGGTTATTTTAGAAAATACAAGAAAAAGTTTTACGGTTCACAGAGGTGTCTATAGTAAAATATTTTCCGATATACAGGGTGATCCCAAAAATCAAAGCAACATAATAACTTCAAATCATCCTGTATTTTATTTTTGAATTCTAGTAAAAATCTAAGTATTTTTGTCTAAAACGCCATATGTCTAAATTCAATTGTTTTCAAGCTTCTGACATTCGAAAATTGACTTTTTCATATTTTGACAAGCTGTAGCACCTACATATCCCTATTTTAGTTTTTATACTTTTAGAAACTATTTTTACAAATCGTAAAACTTTTGTATTCGAGATTTTCTTGTATTTTTAAAAACAACTGAGATATTAGAATTCCGCACACTAATGGAATACTTTAGTAATTATGCCACACAATTTAGTAATTATGTCACACAATATATCTAGTTAGTTTGTAATTATATTTTTTTTGGGATATCCAAAAATTGCTGCCAAAAATCTATTTATAATTTTTCTTTTTTATAAAGTATGCAGTTTTAAGATTAATTATTATTTTATATATTTATTTATTTTTAATAAAGTTTATTGGGTCGGTAAATGTTAATAAACATAGTTACAACCAGCTGTTTGTAATTTTCCCTTAAACTTAATTCATTGTTCCATTCGGTAGGGAACGTCATGCATTTTTTTAGTTGCCACATCATAGAAATTTTATATTACTCTTATAATCTGACATATCTCAGCTTTGGAATAACAAATTGTTTTCAAATTGGAAAAGGCGTGGTTAAAAGAAACAAAAAAGAAGAAGGATGAAGAAAGAAAGGTGCAGAAAAATAAGAAATCTCACTAATTAGGTACTTCAGTAATTATGCCACACAATTTAGTAATTATGCAACATGATTAGTAATTATGCCACCTGAATAGTAATTATGCCACACAATTGAGTCATTATGACTACATATAAAAAATAAGTAAATAATTTAATTTTAATTTAAATCTGGTTGAGTGGAAGATTGGAATTTAATTCCAAACTCTGCCTTTTGACATAATTTTGTATATAACCTACTATTAAAATGTATATTTTGTTCTTATGTATTTAAATGTCAATAAAAGCGATATTATTATTATTATTATTATTATTATTATTGTTGTTATTATTATTATATAATTTAGTAATTATGCCACTCAATTAATTAATTATACCACACAATTTATTAATTATGCCACACAATTTAGTAATTACGCCATACAATTTAGTAATTATGCCACACAATTTAGTAATCAGTCATCTAATGTTAAACATCATCTTGGTGATTCTAACCACAATCTAGGATGTTGTAAAGAATCTGCGGTGTACCAATATCTCTTCTATATAGATGTTAGCAATATAATTAAAATGGACAGTGATATTATAAAAACATCAACACTGTCTTCATACAGTTTTCCAATGTTTCTATGTTTCATTACAGGCCAAGAAAAATTTTAAGATGCTTTAGTATTCTATCAATGTTTTCTGAAAGCATTTAGCCTGATATTGTAAAATCACCAACACAGCCTTCATACAGTTTTTGATGATATTTATTAAGTCCACTGTTGCCAAATATTGAAGTGATGATTGAGAAAAAACATTTGACTGGCAAAACCACAATTACCAATCAATCATTCAAAATATATCTTTAGATCATATATTTCTATTGAGCGCGCATAGGAATGTTAGGACAGGTTTAGTTAGTAAAAGGTTGTGTTAATTTAGGAGGTTATGTTAGTGTAAGTTAGTTTAGGTATAGAGGAATATGATTTTTAAACAGGCAAGAAACAACAAGTCTGTAAATAGGAGTAATGCTAGTCAAATACATTTTCTCGATCATCTGACACAAGTATGAGCATACATTGTTTTATCTATTTGGAAAAATTAGGTTTAATAGAAGTTATGTAAACTATCGTCAAGAATTTTTTTTAATAATGAAAACCATTGAATTATTATTGTCTAAAGCAAGCATTCATAAAACGCATGCTTACTCCTCAGATAAACAAAGACGCACAAACCATCCCCACTTAAATTAGCGGCCGTCTCGTTCACTAATGTGGCAGCTCATGTGGCAGCTCATGTGACAGCTCTGTGTAATCTGAACGATTGAGATAAATAAGGGCTTAATAATGAATGAATGGATTAGTCTAGTAGTATTTCGTCGTTGTATATAATAATAATAATAATAACATTTATTCAGTAAAAGTTACAAAAAAGGCCAAAATTGAATAAAATGTTAAATAGTCGATAAGCATTGCTTGTTTCGACATAAACTAAACAAACTACATATAACTAAATAAGTTACATTGAATTGACATTAGATAACTGATTACTAAATTGTTTGGCATAATTACTGAAATTGCAAGCCAAAGCGCTAGGAGGATCTTGGTATGAATAACTAGTAAGAGCGGGGTATGGGGAGTTTTAAAAACAGAAAATTCTGGTAAGCTAGGAGAAGAGGTAGATGAATAACTGTCGTTAGCAAATACATGATAATTTTTACTTGAATACAAAGAATAGCTGCTATTACTACTATCAGAAAAGTTGTACCCCCCAATAGCTTTTTTAGGATAATCTAATACCACTTCAAACTTGACTGATTTGCAGTACTTAGGGGAGACTGAACTGAATGTTTAGGTGTCACACATTTTTCTGTCTTTCATTCTGATTTTTTCTTTTTTGCTTTTTTATACACCTTCAGCACCTCCAAATATCTTTTCCACATGTTAATATGCAATTATGCAACTATTGATCTTAAAACCCCAAATTGTTGCACCAATAATTTATTTACTACCGTTTTTTTTTATTTCTGAGACTCCTTAACGATGGACATTAAAAAAAAAGAATAAAAATAAACACCCTGTACATCAAGCGTATCTGTGAATATTAATCTTTCGCTCCGCGAGTCCCGGGTATTATCATAAATTTTCTACAATTTCAACATTATATTACAAGCGTTTCAAAAAGTTGGACTTCTGCGGGTTTTCGTACAATTTTCACGGATCGCCTGAACTATTAAAATACCTAGGCTAACATTTATCGGTCTGAAAACAAAATTCCCCTGTTTTTTGCTGTCTTTTTTTTTTAATATAATATACACATTCCCCACTATAATATTTAAAAATACAATAAGTTACATGACAAAGTCGGATTATTATAACCCTTCAAAATCACCGTTACATCAGAATTGCACTAAATAAGAAGCGTAAGAAATAAATTGTTATTCAGAAGTTATACGACTCGTATAGGGCGTACAAATAACTAATACTTTTTCACTCAGAAGCTGCTAATTTTCAAATTTAATCATCATTATTATTATTATTTCTTGCCATTCGTAACCTAAATACATATTTCTCAATCACCCTGTAACGATTTCAGTGCTTATTGGATAATTAAAATCACTTTTGCAGTTTGATTAAAAAAAAATTAAATTGAATTATCGAGTTTAAAAAGTTTTAAAATAAAAGATTAGGACATAATATTTTATTTTGAATTTTATCTTACACGGTTTCCAGTCAGAGATTATGACAAGTTATAACTACCCAACTTGTTATTAATCTAACACTCACTTCTCACCCACAAACAATCGCTTACTTAAGAATACTTTATGTCCGACCATATTTACACTGCAGTACAACTATCGCGTCCTCCTGACTGCTCTCTTTATCTTTCTGGGCGCTGCTAGACCGCCGTCCGTTGGTTGGGCTCTAAAAATAAAAATCCATCCGTAGGAGTCTTTTTTTGAGGCCGCGGAAGTATATTAAAAATAAAGATACAAAATGGATAAAATAAGGGGGAATGACTTTAATATTATAGAGAAAACAACCTGTTTCCCATTCAAAACATCTTTTTTATTCATGAATGGCATTCTAATATAGTATAGCCCTTCCAAAAAAATGTGAGGTGAGGTGAATCACCGAGAGTTTCTGTAAAACCCAAAACTGAATCCTGAGTCATATTTACTTTTGTCCATTTTGAATCATTATTTCTTGTATATTCGTGAAAGCGCATTTGAGTCAAATAATTTGTTTATGAGCTACGTTATACATGGTGCAATTGAAATATGTGCAAATATTAAAACTGCAAGGTCTGTGTGATACCCTAATGTTTTAGATGAATTTTAAAATTAAAAAACGGGGCATTTACCCTGTTTTCCGAACATCATTCAGAGCTACATGGTCAAAAATCGTTTGTGAAATACTGAATCATGATTTATTTAAAGAATACATTAGAGAAAATAAATTCCAAGTAGTACATATATAAAAAAAAAATGTAAAAAAGGTAAAATTGTATAAAAACACTCATAAACTAGACATACAATATTTCACTAAAAACACAAGTAATAAAAAAATATGTTAGACAACACCAAACTTAAGTGTTCTTTTTAGAGTAGGAACGTTAATATTTAAAATATCACAATCTGAAAAGAATTTATTATAATTTTGGCAAAGTCGATCAATAAAAACTTAAAAAGGAATAGAAGGGATTGTTTCCTTCTATCTTCTAGGCTGTGTAGACCGCAAAGCATTATTCTTTCATAGCAGATATCTTGATGTGGAAACCGAAATTTGAATGGTAGATATTTAACGAACTTGCGCTGTACCCTTTCTATCCTATTTATGTGATACGTGTAATTGGGTAGCCAGATTACAGAACAATAAGATGCTTCTCACTAAATAGTTGTATAGGGATGTAATAGCCTTGGTGTCATTTATATGATGTGAGTAATGTTTAATAAAACCAAGCATTTTAAAAGCTTTGCACAATACAAAAGTCGATATGCAGGTTAAAGGATAAACTTGTGTCAAAGATGATGCCGAGGTTGTTTAATGAAGAAGAATTTTCTAATGTCACATTATCGACCTTGTAATAGTTCAGAGTAGGGTTGGGAGATCTTGTGAAGTGGATTGTAGCACATTTATTGACATTTAGGGACAAATGATTTAGTTTGCACCACTTGGCGAAACGATCGAGATCCGATTGTAAGGCTAAGTTGTCACTGGTCTTTATTCTAAAAAACTTAAGGTCTACTGCAAATAACATGCAGTCACTATTTTGAAAACAATCTGTTGCTTCGTTCAGAAACAATAAAAATAGGACAGGGCCAATATGAGATCCTTGTGGAACACCTGATGTCACTAATTCTTCACTTGAGATCGAGTTTTGCACAGTAACACGCTGACAACGATGACTTAGATAAGAGTTTGACCAATTAAGGTAATTATCCGAAATACCAATGTCTGCTAGTTTTTTAAAAAGCAAACACTGTCAAACGCTTTAGACAAGTCTGTATAGATTGCACCAACCTGGTGACCAGCTTCGAGAGATGAGAGTAAGTACTCTTGATACAAGCCAAGATTTGTTGCAGTTGAGCGTCCTTGATAGAACCCATGTTGGCATGGAGAAATGTAATTTTTATATGTGGCAAATACCTCGTCAAGTCAGGATGGATTCGAATAATTTACGTATCGTAGAGATTATAGAAATGCCTCGTTAATTTCTTATGTCAGTTTTGTCTACCTTCTTGTAAATTGGCACAAAACACACCGTTGTCGTGTCAATATTAATCAGTATAATATTTGTTACTTTTTTGGGGTTGGTTTAGTTGTGATTTCTTGCCTACAACATGGAATTTAAGAAATTCAAACGCGGACAAATGCTCCATGAGAGTATGAAAATTCAGATTTTTAATATTTGTTATTTAATCAATGATAATAAATTGAGTGTGACTGCAGCAGTAAGTCGTACTTCCAAGATGAATGGAGACAGTGAAAAACAATTTGTATCATCAAGAAAAAGGAGAAACAAAACAATGGCAAATTGAAATCACCTGCAAGAAGAAAAAAGTGGATGCGGCAGACAAATTCTCACAAATATACATATAATGAGCATTTTAAGAGCTTATTAGGAGGAATTGTGCACAAAAAACATTTCGGCAACTTTGAATGCAGTTTATATTATAATAAGATAAGTCAGGAATTGGATATATTCCACATTAGTATTCAGGATCTCAATAGGCATTATTTAGGATAACCATCATTGTACTTCATTTCCTGTAATATTTTTCATTATTGTATGTTTCGTCTAAGTATGTTTGTCATATTTTCCTATTCTGTCATTGGTTATTACTTGTAAAATAGTGTATTTAATAAATAAATAAAATAAAATAAATAAATAAATAAATGAATATTATTCGATGGAATGAGAATTTTCTCTTTAAGAACTCTATGTAGATTGATGAAAGATATTGGTTTTGAATATGTAAAACGTGACTTGGGTCAACGTCGGTCAAAAGATTAACTATGAATGGTGTGATACCACCATAAAAGATTGTAGAGATGCTTTTATAAAGGGTTTAACCACAGGCATCAAAGCACCTACACAGAGAAGTCCGTGTTTCGTTATTGTTCATGCAGGATATGAAGGTGGATTTTTACCTGGCGCTGCTCGTAATTTCTTGGGAAAGAAAACGATTACGACTACCATGACGAAATGAACGGCGACTATTTTGAGCAATGGTTTGAGGAGTCGCTGATTCCTAACTTACCCAAAGATGGAGACGTAAGAACGTTATTGTTATCGATAGCGCTTCATATCATTCCCGTAAACAAGACATAAAAAATTGACTGTTTAAAAACATTTTCTTTGATTACTTTTATTTAAAATCTGAGCTGCTTGAAGTTGCCAAATCATACAGAGAGCAATACGACAAATATAAGATTGAGGAAATAGTTGCAAAATACGGGGTAACTGTTTTACGCTTGCCATAGTTACATTGCGAGCTTAACCCGATCGAGATGGTATGGAATCAGGTAAAGCACTATGAACAACTTTGATTTTAAGACACAGGATGTTCGTTCATTGATAGATGAAGCAGTTGAACAAAATTTGCGTAATTGTGTTGCACATGTCAGAGAAAAAAAAAACAGAAAAAGAAATGTGGGTCCCTGATAATCTCAAAGACAACGTTGATGAACTTATTACAAGAGTAAATTTTGGCGACAGTTCTGAGAGTGAGATTTCAGACCTTTACGATGACTTACAATAGCTTATCTATTGCTTAAAATGTGTTTAGTATTTTACTTTATAAATCTGTAATTTTGAAATTCATTGTTTATTATTTATTATTGAATATACAAATATTGACATAAAATTTAAACTCGTATCGAAATTCGCCTGAAACCGGACCTGTTTTTATTTTTGGCATCTCATATATACTGATACAGAATAGAAGTATTTGAAGATTTGAAAACGTGCCTGAAACGGCACTTGGCCCGAATTAGCACATCAAATTGCCGTCTGGGAATCTTGACAGCCAATGTCATCATGGTCTAGGGATAAGGGCATTTGTGTACAGAACAAAGATGTCTGGGTTCGAATCCCACTGTGTTTTCGCCTTTGGTTTGTGAGATTGGTTTTCAATTTTTTAAATTATTCTACAAAAAAATAAATATGTTGCAGAAGTATTTTTGGACTTAAAAATAGATTTTGAGACAAGAGACAGGCAAATAATGTTATCAAAATCGAAACAATATGGTAGTGGGGTACAGTATTGGATGGGTTTAGTAACTCATTTAAATAATCGCAAGCAGAGAATCCATTTTGCTAAACAAACAACATGAAACATAAATAATATGGGCTTTCCTCAAGGTAGCAATATTGAGTCCTGTTCTTTTTATTTTATACATTACTGTGAACTGGCTTTTACACATTATCTATATTTCTTACCAAAATATCTGGCCTGGAAGTTTTTATTGGTACACCCTGTATATATATTTTCTTAAGTTTGTTAGAACTTATAGTTAACCCAGTTTTATTCTTTGCACATATTCCAATTACACCCTGTACTATATTTTTATATTATTTTGTATGTAAAATCATTTCTAAAAATTAACCTATAATATAACCTAGCTCTTTACCTTCTGTTTTAATTTTTAAAAAGGAAATCAAATAACATACAGTAAATTCGTATACTTACGAAAATGTCACAGGATTTTCAGAAAAATTGAAGGAAGGTTTGGCTGTTGCATCAAAAGTTGTCGTGGTGAAATTGAATCCTCCCGTAGGCTAAAAATTGAAAAAAACATACTTAGCATCAAGCTAGAATATAATGTAAGGCACACAGGAAATCCAACAGATTCCAAAATTTGAATTCATGAAGAATACAGCATAGGACAGTGATGGGAAATTAGTAACCTTTGTTGGGATACCAAGTAGTTGCAATAACGTTTGAAAAGACCTTCCTTTTAATGTCTTAAATCAAAATTTGTGCTGTTGGATAACCTTACATACATAGCTTGACATTAAAGAAAAATCAACTTACTGCTACTGGTGCTCCCGGGGCAGCTGCTGCTGCACCTGCAAAATTAAATCCAGTAGATGGAGCGGCCGAGGGAGCGCCAAAGTTAAAACCAGTTTTTGTAGGTGCCGCATTTTGAGAGGGGCCTCCAAACGTGAATATCCCATTCTTATTTCCACTGGTAATGGGTACACCAAACTGAACTGCTGTTGGACCAGCTGGAGCTCCCGTCGGCCCGGCTGGCGCTTCATTTTTAGCGGCGGAAAAGTTGAATACGGGAGATTTTGTGACCGGGCCGAAATTGAATCCGGCGGCTTGTGTAGTAGGCTGTGCGTTCATTGCAGATCCCGCAGACTGGCCAAAATTAAACATTGTCGCCTTACTAGCGGGTTCCCCACTGTCCGGTGCCTTCGTAAAGGAAAACGGCTTGGTTTCTACAGGTTTGGAAACCGATGAATTCAAAGCTTTGCTACCTGCAGCTCCAAAAGTGGGAGCAGGTTTTGCAACACTGTTAGTTAAGACGGGCAATTTATTTTGGCCAAATACGGAAGCAGAACTGACAGGTTTTTGTGTATCTCCAAACGAAAACATTGGAGCTGCAGTAGGTTGCTTTTGGACCTCTTTGGATGATGGGAGATTTGTAGATTTTCCAAATTCAAACTTTGGTACCAAAGAAACAGTTTTTGCAGCCTTGTCTTTGTTGTCTTCTTTAGCTTCAAAGCTAAATGTTGGCTTAGCAGGTGCATTAAAAGTAATTAGAGTAGCAGGTTTGGTACCAGTAGAGTCTGTAGTATCACTTAAAACCACAGGAGTTGGTGTAGAAGTAGTAGTGATTTTGAAAGTTGATTTAGCTTCAGTATTCTGTGGTACACTAACAACAGGTTTAACTACTGCTGTACTTGGAGCTAAAATTGGCAAAGTTGTTTTATTTTCAGCTGGTTTAGCAACTTCAACAGGTTTTTCCTTCTCATTTTTGGTAGTAGCACCAAATGAAAAAGTAGGTGTCGATGTGGTATTATTTGTCTTTGGGGCATCTACAACTGTCACAACTGGTTCCACAGGTTTTGGTAAACTAGGCACCTTAGATGATGGTGGAATACCAAAACTGAATGAAGCTGCTAATTTCTGATCAATTCCAAAGTTAAATTTTGGTACCTGCTTGTTTGGAGTATCTTGTACAACTACATTTGAAATGACACCTGGCTTGGATGCTTCACAACATTGGCATTTAGCATGTTCTGATTGGTTTCTAATCATGCATACCGTACATTCCCATTCATCATCCTTGATTTTAAAAGAATTCGGTAACTGATTGGTAGCAGCTGGCTTACTAATTCTGGGAGTCTCACAAGCAGCACATTTACTAAGTTCTTCCTTGTTTCTTATCAAACACGTGGAACACTCCCAGGTTTTTGCTGGAGGTTGATGGAAACCTGGCGTTGATGAAGATGACACCAATGTAGTAGATTTTGGGTTAACTGTTTCACAAGCAACACATTTGGCACTATCAATTGTATTTCTGATCATGCAAGTAGGGCATTCCCACATACTATCTGTCTTTTTGAATTTTTCTCCAAAAGATGTTAAAGATTTTTTGGATTCAGGCTGTGTCGGTTTCAGCTTTGGGTTAGGAGCTTCGCAAGCAACACACTTGGTCTTTTCTGGCTGATTCCTGATAAGGCAACAGCTACATTCCCACATTCCTGTGGATGGTTTAAATTTATCCATCAGCAAAGAATTCGGCAACACATCTTTAATTTTAGTTTGACCATTATTTTTATCTTTTATTGGTTTAGCAAAAGGTGTAGTTAAACCATTGTTAGAATCAGTTTTAGTCCAGTTTGATAATGGTTCGCTAAATTTGAAATTATTCATTGCAACGATGCTCTTGAGATTCTCAGCTATTACCAAAGGATTTGAAAACTTATACTGCGAGTTAACTGTTGGTAGATCTCTTTGGAAGTTCTTGTTGATATCTACATTACTACGAGATTCGGGAACGTTTTGAGGTTTTGAAATAGGTAAAACATATGGTTTTTCTGTAAAAGAGATAATCTTATCAAGAGGTTTCTTTGTTACAGGAGCAGGAACGTCAATTTTAGGTAGAGATGAAACAGGAAGACCTGAAGGAACTTGAGATTTGTCCTTCTGGGTAGATATCTTGGGCTTTTCTTTTGATTTTTCCACTACATCAGACTTTTCAGGTGTTTTTTGATTCGTATCATTAGGTTTTGATGAAGATTGAGGTGGTACAGCATTTAAATCTGACTTGGAAGATATGGCAATTTGTCTAACAGCCTCTGTGCTGCTTTGTAACTTAGCTTTCTGTTTCATTTTCAATAAATCTGACACTGTAGGTACTTGAAGTTCTCTATTTGAAGGGGTTTCTCCATGTTTAATATAAGGATTAACTCCTACATATCTGCCAATTAAACTATTATCAGGTCGAAATCTTTTTGATGTAACTGGTATCTTTTTGGCATCATTTACAGGAGTGCTATACTGTTCCAAAGTCTCTAAAATTTTTCTTGCTGTTTTACCTAATACCAAGCTTCCACCATCTCTGGCTCTATTAATAGGTTTGATACGGACTGACCTTTTAAGAGAAGTCCTAAGGTCCTTTGCGCTTCTGCCGAGTTTGCTCCCATATGCTGAAGCACCTCCATATATTGTTGTTCCATTATAAAATGGTGAATTAATTATTTTTTCCGTTGATATAGTTTTATCGATAAAGTTTGGAGATCCAAACGTTGATGCATTGAAGCTGGGCCTCCTTGAACTTAGAGATGTATTTAATTGGGGGCTTGCAGTCCTCTCAGAAAATAGTGATCGATTTGTGCTGACAACTGAAATAATGTCACATGTTACCTACTCATAAATATAATGAATCTTAAAAAATATATATTAAACATTAAATGGTTTTTTTTTCTCTATTATAAGCCTGATGATGGCTTTTGGACCAAAACTGGTACCTATTGACATTTAGTTTTTTAATAAAGATTATATTTATGTTGTACTGATTTGAATATTTTAATTTTCGTTTATATTAAATATTGTTTTAGACTAGACACATATTATTCTCATATAACAATTTATTATTGTATGACAAGTTTCAAAGTATATGTTTTGCATAATAACATTATTTAAAGTATTTGGCTTGTTATTACAGTACCTACTTGAATTAAATGACACCAATCTTATTTCGTATCTAATTAGATTATCAGTAAATACATATCAAGCATTCCCTTTATACATCAATAATGATATATCTAACAGATTTAAAATTCCATTATGTGAATCAACAAAACAGGTGGCACCAGATATTCAAAATATTAAGTTATTTGTATATGTAGACTCCCAAATGCAAATAATTGATAAGGAGGATAATGTGAATGAGAATAAAATATAGAAAAGTGCTGGAGAAAACGAATTCTGAAAAAAAGCATAAAGCACAAAGCACATATGATTCATTTTCTGTTGTACAAAATTAAACTTGTTTTTTTTTGTGAAATGCCAAAATAGAGATACAATACTGATGCTTTGATGTAAAAATGTTGCAATGATTAAAAAATAGGGTGTGGCACACTAAATATGTACCTATTTCTGCCACACCAATGAAGGGTTAACATAAGTATTGTATACCACATAAAAACTGTTGTTGTACCGAGGCTCTAAAAGTATTAGAATATATTAAAAAAAATTATGTATAATACTTAAAATCAAATTACTTAATGCTTTAAAATTGCTGCTGCTATAAAATTTGACGATATGCAACTTTTATTGTAAAATTTTACAATTGGGTCATAAAATAATAAATAAGTAATGATAGATATTGGAACCCATACTCAAATCTAAAAAATATGTCTTACTTAACCTTAAATTTACTAGACATGCAGAAATAAATGATTTCCCAGCTTTATAAAAAAAAGTAAAATATGATTTAGACAATTTGTTTAAAGAAATTAACTATATGTTCTAAATCCAATATTTCCAAGTCTTATATCTACCTAAAACTAGTTAGAAAACATAATTTTGTAAAAAATTTAAATAACACATTTTTCTTCTGTATACATCAGTAAAATATATTAGGTATGTCTATTAAATACTCAAGAAGTAAATATTTTACAGGAAGACCTCGTATCATTTAAGGAAATTAAATATACCTAACATTGTAAATATGTACCCTAAATATAATCATATTTCTATAAGTAAATATTTATTAGGTAGGTATGAATGGATTTATTTTGATATCAAGTTAATATAATTATAAAGAATATTGTTGTACCAAGGCTTTACAACACTCGAAATTTTAAAAAGTCATAAAATGAATCTAACAAATTACTGATAAAAAAAATCTTACAAAATGTATGTCTAATTGGGTTTCAAATAAAAACCAGTACATTTATAATAGCTGCTTTAAACTAGCTGAAAACAATGTATCTGAACTTTAAACTTTTAAATTTGAATATGACAAATTATTACTTTAAACTAGCCGAAAACAATGTATCTGAACTTTGAACTAGTGATAGTGACAAATTCTTACTAAGTTTTTACTTCTTTCTCTCTGTATTTACCTAATGGTGGTAGAGGTATTTGTAATTATTTTAATAATATAAGTAATACCCCTACAGCATCTTTATAAGTAAATATTGTTAAGGATGAAGGTTATTTTAATACCACATTAACATATTGTATCATACATAGGGGTCTATTCTGTAAAAATTCCTTTATATTTAATGGCCTTTAAAAATATTTTCTTCTTTAATTCAGTCACTATTTAAACGGATCTTTAAAATACATTAGAGGACTATCTTAAAGAAATCTGTTTAAATAATGATAGAAGTAAATTGACGAATACAAATATACTTTTAAAGGCCGCCAATATTTTTAAAGGCCGTTAAATATAAAGGAATTTTTACAGAATAGACCCCTTTGACTATTACTATTGTTGTACCAAGGCTTTAAAAGTCTCAGCATTTATTAGTCATTATAAAGAATCTAATAAATTACTGCTTTAAAAAATCTTCCAAAATATAGATCCAGTACATATGTAAGTACTTTAATTAGGTGAAAACAATATATCTGAACTAGTGATAGTGACAAATCCCTTACTAAGTTTTTACTTTCTTTCCCCTTTACATAATAATTTAGTAAAAGGTATTTGTAGTAGGTAAAATTAGGTAATTACCCAATAAATGAATAAATATCTGGACAATATTCACACTGTTAAGCACATCTGGTATTACAATCTTAAGTAGGTCATTAATTTTTATATGATGCAAAATACAAATATGAAACATATTGTTCTTATTAGCTAATATCTACTGAACTTACCTGGACTTTGAAATAAGGACCTAGCATTAGGTGAATTAGTTTGTAATGGAGAAGGCTGTTTGGAACTTCCTTCGCTATGAGAAACATGTTCCTTACTGCCAATCCTAGCTACTGATGAGTAACCACTTGTAGATTCCTCACTATCAGAGTCTTTGTGTCCATTTAACAAGTCATTACTAAATGTATTCCTAGCACTAATTGAAGTATTATTAACACTATTAAGCAGCTTTTGCGATCTTAAACCAGAAGGACCGGCCACTGGCTCTGGGAAGTGGTTGTAAGTTTTATTTATATGCGTTTCACTTATAATTGTATTTTCACTATTAGATAATAAATTACTGAAACTACTTGCTGAAGCAATATTGGGGAATCTTGCTCGTTTTGCAGGAGGCTGCATCTGACTTATTTCATCGTCGTTTTCTTCATCTCGTCTCCTAATTGTTGATCTGTTATCATCAGTCCTTCGAAACCATTTGGACAAAGGTGTATTGCTGATAATAGATTTGAATTTCCCAACAAGTGACTAAAACAAAATGAATGCATTGAAATATTTTGAAAAGTTCGAATGGTGTGATATTTTCGACATATTTATAAAGTAACGCCGGATTTTCATTAAAAAAGGTAAAAAGAGCTGTATTCCAGCAATCTATTTATAGTGATGAGAACGCGCGAACTTGCTATAAGAAACTCATTTGGGATTACCTTTTCAGCATCTTCTTCATTGATATTCGGTGCATTTTGTTCTATGCTGTTGTTAAGATCTTTCGCCATGATTGCACTAGAATTCTTAATTATACATAAACAAAATATTACAAAGAATATTATACATTTTTTCAATTTTGTGACAACTTTCACCACACGAGGATTAAATATGGCGTAATTTAGCTGTAGAGTGTAGTTCCAAATTAACCTTCAAGAGGGAAGGTTATTCACTGGCAACAAACAAACGCAGTATCAGTACGTTCAGAAACAACCAATTTATAGGAACTTTCTTTTCTACTCATAACTTTTTCGTTTTATTTGATCTTGATACTTATTACCATCTAGTATTTAAGGCCATCCAGACACAAACAAGTTTTTGTCTGCGTTCTCATTAAAAATGAATTAATTTTTTATAAATCAAAAATTATACAAATCGGATCGCAACTTTCTAGAACATTTTGTTCAAAAAGGTAATTTGGCTATGGTGCATCGTGATGCTGAATAAATATATCTATGGTGATTACACTGCTCCAGACTGTATTTGTGCAATAATAGTTTTTTTAAACCATAAGAATTACATTTTTGCAACAATTTAATAAGTTTGGGGTTACTGTTTAGTTTGACGATGTTTCTTATTAAAAAATATAGGGGTTGGCTACAATGATTTTTATGACAAATGACAATAATTACATGACAGTGACAGATGAAAATACCACAGTGAAACTGTCAGATGAGATATATTAATTATTTACATTGAATATTTACGTTTGTCGATTAAAAGACTAGTAAATTGTGCTTGGATTGCAATTATTATACATAAAAATGGCCGAGACTCCAGCTTCCCAACGTCTTACCAACGATGATTTTCGAAAACTGCTGATGACCCCTCGGTCAAATCCTTCACATACACCTGCACCCCCTGGGTCCGTGAAGGAAGCAATGAACAATCCAAATTCTATGCCACCGCCTAAAATCGAAGATAAATCCGAAGCCCGTCGTAAAAAGAAAAGTTACTATGCAAAACTCAAAAAACAAGAAGACAATAAAATGGCAGAATTGGCAGAAAAATATCGTGACAGGGCTGGTGAACGGAGATCTGGAGTAAATCCTGATTATCAAGCAGATGATCCTATTGCGACAGCTCAAGCTTATCGAGCTGTAGCTCCAGATCTAAAATCCGGTTATGATGCTGCAGAGAGGAGAAGGCAAATGATTCAAGAGTCAAAATTCTTGGGAGGTGACATGGAACATACTCACTTGGTAAAAGGTCTTGATTATGCATTGTTGCAAAAAGTTCGAAGCGAAATTCAAACTATTGAGATGGAACAAGAGTTGGAAATGGAAAAACTTGCTACTAAAAATATGGAAGAGAAGGAAAAAGAAAGAAAAGATGCCCAAAAGAAGGAAGAGGAGGAAATGAAGTTCAAAACTAAGATTGGGAGGTCAATATATTATACCATGAATGTTTTAAAGTCTAGGCATATTGAACGTTCTGAACTGTTTGTGCCTGGTAGAATGGCCTACGTTATTGATTTAGGTAAGTTATTTAAATAAAAGATAATATACTTGTTATAGAACTAAAATAATTGCTTTTCAGATGATGAAGCTGACAGTGATATACCAACTACATTGATAAGATCTGTGGCAGATGTTCCATCATTTGAACTAACCACCACAGTTACAACAAATGATATTGTAATAAATAAACTTACGCAAATTTTGAGCTATTTAAGACAAGGTAAGAATAGTTTTTTTTGCAAAAGATCTATTGTAATATTGACAAATATTTAAGGAAATCGAAAAAATAAAAAAAATAAAAGAGGACTACCAGATAACTCTAAAGAGTATGATCTACAAGAGGATAGTGAGAGCAAGAAACCACAAAAACGCTCCCATCAAGAGGATTCTATATATGAAGATATTGGAGACTATGTGCCTACAACAAAGAGCAGTAGACATCGTGACCACCGTGAAAGAAAGGGACACAATTACTTTGACAAACATGATAATGATCCTGTTGATAATATTGGCCCAACCTATAGAGTTAACAAATCAGCTGAAATTCTTAGTAAACTACAACAGGAACCTGAAGGGTATGCAGAATGTTATCCAGGTAAAAAAATAGTTTGTTTATCCCATAATTTAAGATTTCTAACATATTCTTCTTTAGGTTTGGAAGAAATGAATGATGCAATAGACGACAGTGATGATGAAGTAGATTACTCCAAGATGGATCTAGGCAACAAGAAGGGACCCATTGGTAGATGGGACTTTGATACAGCAGAAGAATATTCAGATTACATGAATCAGAAGGAAGCCTTACCAAAGGCTGCTTTTCAATATGGGCTTAAAATGGCAGACGGCAGAAGATCTAGAAAGCATAAGGACAAGAACGAGAAAGCTCATCTCGATAGGGAATGGCAAAAGATTCAGAATATTATCCAGAAGAAAAGATAGATTTAGAAATATATATTTGATGTATGTAGATAATAAGGTTTAAAATGGCAGAAGATCTAGAAAGCTTAAGGACAAGAAAGTTCATCTTGATAAGCTTCCTATCACAGCAATGATCCTGAACTGATTGATAGTGCAGTTTCTAATTCTGCTTTGTGCTAAAACTAATTCCATTTGTTATTGATTCTGAACTTGTTATACCCAGGGCCAACTAGAGGGGGGGCAGTGGGGACTAATTCCCGGGGCCCAGGCTCAAATGGGGGCCCGGCAGCGGTGGTGAGAATTTTTTTGTTACTTTCAGAAGTTAGACACGAGGAAGTTCTTGGTTGAAAGAGGAGAAATTTTTTGCTTGAAGCACTTTTTTTAGAGAAATTTTTGCTTGGAGACTTTTTTAGATATATTCAGGAGTAGAGGAGGATAAATTTTTGTTTCAAGACCTTTTTTTTTATCTTTTATAAAATTGTCGCGTGACCCGATCTGGAGAATTGACCTGGGGCCTGGTCTGGCTCTCGGCGGCCCTGGTTATACCTGAAATATGAGATTGCGTTTCGGGTAACAATTCAAGATTGATAATAAATCATGCCTGCACTCAAAGTATGAATTAGTAATTCTGAATCAGTTCAGGATTGTTACCATAAATGAAGCTATTATCCAAAAGAAAATATGAATTTAGAAATATGTTTTTGATGTATGTAGATAATAAGGTGTATATAAAATAAAAAGATTAATATTTGACTATTATTTTAATTACAAAGTTTACATTTATTTTAGTCACTTTCTTCTTCATCACTGAAATATCCACTTTTCTTTATCTTCTTTCTAGGTGGGGCACTTGTTCCTTCAATATTTTCATCATCATAATTTCCTGTTGCTACTTTGTACCTATATTTCTCTAACTCAATTTTTTCTTGCTAAAATGTAAAAAGAATTAATTTGTACTAATTAGTTTACATTACAAGTGCTATAATTGACAAAAACTCAATCATATATTAATATACCTCTAATGCTATTGCTGCACTTAATGTTTCACAATCCTCTATTTCTTCTTCAGATGCATGTTCACCCTCTTTTTCTTTATCACTGATCTCTTCATCACTGCTCTTAAAGTAATCTTTTTGTTCCTAAAACATTAGCTTATTAATATTAAAAAGGAACAGACATTTTGCATTCAATACTTTCGTTAATTTATTGGACTGCTCATCTTTTTTCTTTCTTTTTCGGACTTTTTTGGGGGGCGGTTCACGTTCGCCAAGTAAATTTTTGTCGCAATTGTAACTCAAATGTCCGTATTCTCCACATTCATAGCACTTCGTTTTATTTGGATATTCCTATCAAATGGTGTAGACATTTAAAAAATATTGTGAAATTCTATGAATAAACTTACTTTTCTTTTGATGAATTCTTTTGTTCTGCCATTGTCTCTGGCTATGCTGGCTTTTAAAGTCCTTCCAAATGACTATGGCAGAAGGAAATTAAAAAAAAAATTCAGGATATCTCCATACTTTTAAAAATAAAATAGTGAGCATCTTGAACGCCCTACTTATATGTATATAATCAAAAATACATGTATCAAACTCACTTCTTTTAAATTTGTCTCTTCCACACATTTAAGTGCATCTTCTGGTTTCAGAAACAATATAAATGCAACTCCTTTACTTCGTCTAGTATCTTTTTCTTTTACAACTGTAACTCTAAATTATAAATGTCATTCATAATTGTTGGAGCAGTTTCATTTAATTATACATACTTTACTATTTTTCCATGTTTCTCAAATAATTTGTGAATATCATTATTTTTGAGATCAAATGGTAAATTAGAAACATACACAGTACTTTTACTAGGGACCAAACCACCACTCATGACTATTAAAATTGTTGTCAACACTATACGTATTACAACATAGTTTTTAAAACTTATTTATTAAAAAAAATAGTTTGAAATAAGTTAATTTCTCACTTTCCTCTTTCCCCTCGGGATTTTAAATTATCAATGTGGCTGACTGCAACAGTGCAAACCTTAATAGGCCATTGTAAAGAAGAAGAAATCTGCAAAGAATCTAGAAGTTGACCGATTAGGAGCTAATTCGATCATCCATAAAATAGGCCAGTGTTGCCGCTTTGCCGCAAAAGGAACACTAATTAAGCTTGTACAATTCACCGCAAGGGCGCTGGTGTTGCTAGGGATGTTAAAAAATACATGACTTCTTATGGGAATTTGATATAATTTTGTAAAATAAATTAAAAATAAACTTGTTTATTGCAAAATAAAGCACAGAAAATATTGTATTTATTTCTAAATAAGTCTTGCATGTTTTAAGTGATAAATTATTTAATTTTATTATTTTATGACCAAATTCGAAAAGGTTTATTAAATGGTGAAATTTGGTAAGTACAATTTTGTGGCTAATTTTTTTTGAATTATGCCTAAATATAGTTTTAATAGTCAAATAAACCACATTTAAAAGATTTTTTATTGTTATAAAATACAAGTATGAAGAGAGATTCGGGATACATATGGCATTGCCTCATCCTTTAATTTTGGACTTCCACTTTTTATTTTGGTAAGAGTGAGTTCGGCTAGCTCTCAGGATAGTTTACTTAGCTGAGGGCTAGTTCCTTTCTTCTCCAGAGAGTCACAGTGTTGCTCTAGAGCAGCAGGACTAACTGCTCATAAAACCTGTTATAAAATATTCTAAAATCAATTAATTTGTCATGTTGTATTTTGCAAATCAGTAAAAATAATATTTGGAAATATCTTCTAAAAAGTATAGCTCATAAATAGCAATATATCTAGAAAGTGCTTTATCAGCCCAGGGAATGATATGTTGCTACTGCCATAAACGTTTGAAATCCTATAATAGTTATTTATGTACCAAGGGTGAGATTACAGAACGTCTGCAACTTTGCAGATCTGCAAATATGGCGGACTTACAAATGCAAGTATTCCAAAAAATATCTGCAAACTGCAACTTTGCAGATCTGCAAATATGGCGGACTTACAAATGCAAGTATTCCAAAAAATATCTGCAAATTCGCAATATTTATTGTGGTTTATTACCCCCAACAACACTAAACCCAAATTTGGAATACGAAAACTTGATACTTGCATGTGTAAGTCAGTCATATTTGCAGATTTTCAAAGTTGCCGCCATATTTGCAGATCTGCAAAGTTGCAGACGTTCTGTAATCTCACCCCAAGTTAACAAAGTGATTCTTTATTGAACCAGTCTAAGATAAATAAATTATTTTACTTACACTAGGCGCTAATTGAGTATCTCATTGTCAATCCGGTATACTTCCATCCCAAGAGAGTGTTAATGCTTCCTAGAAGAGAGATAAGAGCGCAAGACACAGGTTTAATCAGACTAGCTAAACAATACCTGTTACAATTTTTAGATTTATTTAGAGTCTATTTATGGGGATTCTATGACAGCGATGTGCAGTGAACAAATCTTACAGCAGAGCCAGTTTCTAGATTTTCTTTTGACTATATTATGATCAAAGAAAAAAATATTTCATTTCAACAAACTTCTCTGGAACACACATTAGAAGGAAGTAGTAAATAAGGCCACAAAAGCCCTAATGGTATGCAGAAACATTGCGGGTAAACGATGGGGATGTAACCCAAACATACTGTGATGGATGTATACTGCAATAGTGAGACCAATCATCACTTACGGGGCTATAGCCTGGAGTAACAGAACTAGTTTAGCTACTACGAGAGCTAATATCTCAAAAGTACAAAGACACGATATAGAATGATTAGGAACGGAGTAATCAGACGAAAGTCTACTTGCTTGAGGACTAAAGATACCTGGGACATGTCCCAGGATGAAATGCTAAGGAAGTACAGATTTGTGAAAAACTTCAAAACCACGGAGCTGGGCTGCAAGAAAGGATGGAGCCAAGAATCCATCGCGCTTGCAACCGAAAGACATACTATTCAGTAGTATACGGACGGTTCCAAAACCATAGAAGGAACTGGAATAGGAGTGTATGGGCCGAGAACCAAGCACTCCGAAAGCTTGGCAAAATACCCAAGCATCTTCCAGGCGGAAATTCACGCCATCGAGAAATGTATCCAAAGAAACTATCATAGACAGGAAATTATCATCATGTCCGATAGTCAAGCAGCCATCAAAGCGCTGAGCTCTTACGAAATCAGCTCAAAAATGGTCTGGAGATGCCTAGAACAATTGTAATGAGCTAGGCGAGAAAAATGGAGTTATTCTCAGTTGGGTCCCGGGACATAACGGCGTACAGGGTAACGAGATTGCAGATAGTCTTGCAAGGAAAGGGACTTAAACACCTTTTGTAGGAGCCCTTCTGCGGTATCAGCAGTAACATAATATTAGGAGATATTACAAAAGAATTGGGCAGTAGAAGAACCGATAATTGGAACAATCTCTTGGGACTGAGACAGGCTAAGATACTTCTGGGTGAATATAGCCAGAAAAGATCGGAAGCTTGCATCTGCCTGAGCAAGAACAGGCTACGTATTGTAACAGGGATCCTTACCGGGCATTGCCGACTAAAAGGGCACCTTATAGTAAACTGAGAGTAGTAGACGATAGATTCTGTGAGGAGGAGGACGAAACCTCCATTCACATTCTAAATGTGTAACAGAATCCAAGGGCACTATATCTAGGAAGATATTAAATAGAAGAGGGAGATTTACCTACCGATAGAAGGGGCCACAATAGATCTTTTAGGTCGCAGTGTATTAACACCCCATTTCCAACACAACATACACTAGGCGCTTTAAAAGGACTTTGAATTGATTTCTCCTTGTGTTCTCTTTAATTTTCTGATTTATATCCCGTGTTATAACCTAGAATGAAGTAAATCTTGCTTTGATGTTTTTTGTCACTCATGTTACTTGATGTAGTCAGATACTTATTTTCATATTATTTTGATTATATTTATCAATTTAAAAAAATACTTTATTTCACATTGACTTACATAAAAAATTAACATCATTAACGTTCGACCTGCTAATTACAGTAAATTTGGCAAAACAGAAGGAAATTTGTCCATTGTCGATTTGAATTCTTCTCTTTATAGTCTTCATATCAACGACGACGTGGAATGAATGACAGTGAATGAGGCAGTGAATTGGTCAATGGGAAAGTAGTAGTGGTACAATATAAGCCGTAGGTTGCAGTGCTGCAATCTTACAGAGAACGTGATAGAATAGAAAAGGAGTCTAGAGGGTGTAAAAATAATAATAAAAATTCCTGTATTCATGAAAATATATTGAGTATTCTACGATCTAATCAAAAAATGTTTAGAATATGAATTAAAAAAAAACATATTCAAAACATCTTTCCATTTCTTCATTGCCAAGGAAAATAATAAAAAATTCAAATTTTGCAGTCTTTCTTAAATTTCATCCGGGGATCCCAAAACGTAAAAATCCGTCGAAAACTCGAGATAAAAAAAAAATCATGATTTATATACTTTCCTTACTGGATATAGCAAAAATAAAAAGATATTATTTAATTTAAGTGTAATATTTAAAAAGAGAAGAATACTTCAAATTTATTTTCTCTTCTTGTCTCAACCCAATTACCATTACTAACAGATTTGGCAACGTTTTCTAACATCGTGCGTTTTCGTTTTAATTCGTAACTCCCACAGCATAGATATCTAGAGTAAAATTAAGTTTTTAAAAAGAAGAACCTTTAAACCTTAATAAATGACAGTTGACACTATTGACAGATTTTCTGCATTGGCGTGACGTTGAGCCTGTTTACTTTTTATTATAAATAATGAAAAAAATAAGAATTTTGTTTAAGTAACACATGAAGGATAGATTTCAAACAACTAAACGTTTAGTAGTGGTTGCGCTTTTTTTGCTTTTTATTTGGGCATGCCAACAACTTTCTGGAGAGTAAACCGTTTATAGTTTCATTTCATAGTTTCTACCAATAGTTTAGACATGGCCAAGCATAAAGTATCCTATTTTTTTAATCCAGATGTAGGCAATTTTCATTATGGCACTGGTCACCCAATGAAGCCTCATCGACTTTCTGTTATTCATAGCCTTATAATGAATTACGGGCTTCACAAAAAGATGCAGATCTATAGGCCCTATAAAGCTAGTGCACATGATATGTGTAGATTTCATTCCGACGAATATATTGGTAATTAGTTCGTTTAAAACTTTCTTATCAAGTTTCTATACTTTTATTATTTATTTCACATACATTCAAAATGTTTTTAGATTTTTTGCAAAAGGTTACTCCACAAAATATTCAAGCATATACCAAGCACCTTAGCCATTACAATGTAGGCGATGATTGTCCTGTTTTCTATGGTTTATTTGATTTTTGTTCAATGTACACAGGTGCTTCATTGGAGGGGGCTATGAAGTTGAATAATAATGATTGTGATATTGCCATAAATTGGTCAGGTAGGTAACAACAAATATTGTTAATGAATAATTTGTCAGCTACTTTCTAAATCCATATTTTGGGTGGATCAATCCCAGTCTTTTAGATAATACTCTTTACAATGTCCATGTCCTTCCAGTTTCCTTTATCCTTCAGCAATCCTGATCTGGGTCTTCCATGTCTCATCCCTCCTGGATCCTTTTGTAACATTGAATGAACCACTGCTCTATTTCTTGCTCTTCAAACGTGTCATAAACATCGAACTCTGAGCAAATGCAAATAATAATTTGATTTTAGGAGGACTGCATCATGCAAAGAAATTTGAAGCATCTGGTTTCTGCTATGTTAATGACATAGTTATCGCTATATTAGAATTGCTTAAATATCATCCTAGGGTTTTATACATCGATATTGATGTTCATCATGGGGATGGAGTACAAGAAGCATTTTATTTGACTGATAGAGTTATGACTGTTAGTTTTCACAAATATGGGAACTACTTTTTTCCAGGTAATCCACTAGTGTATTCCATAGATTTTTGTTATTTTTAACCATTTGTAATACTTTTGTAGGAACAGGAGACATGTACGAAGTAGGTGCTGAAAGTGGAAGGTACTACTCTGTTAATGTTCCTTTAAAAGAAGGTATAGATGATGCAAGTTACTGGCAAGTTTTTAAGCCAGTAATTTCTGCAGTTATGGAATTTTACCAACCTACAGCTATTGTGCTTCAATGTGGAGCAGATTCTCTAGCCATGGATAGGTAAAGCAATTCTGTCTTTTAATTAATTCACTCTTACAGAATATACTTTTTTTTCAGATTGGGCTGTTTCTCTTTGAGCACAAAAGGTCATGGCGAATGTGTAAAATTTGTTAAAAACCTAAATGTACCTACATTGGTGGTAGGAGGTGGTGGTTATACATTAAGAAATGTTGCTAGATGCTGGACTTACGAAACCTCCCTATTAGTAGACGAACAAATTTCCAATGAATTGCCTTTTACTGAATATTTAGAATTTTTTGCACCCGATTTTACATTGCATCCAGATGTAGTCACTAGACAGGAAAATGCCAATAGCAAACATTACCTAGAAGCTATTACAAAGTAAGTTTACATTTTTTTAACACGCTGAATGCCATGTGTACATAATTTCATTTTTTTAGATTTACTTTCGATAACTTAAAGATGTGTCAGCATTCGCCTAGTGTGCAAATGCATGATGTGCCGGGTCCGGCTCTGACTGAAGATGAAAAAATGAAAGAAGAAGATGACCCAGACGTTCGCATTAGCCAGGATTTGGAAGACAAAATGGTCGAACCGAAAAATGAATTTTATGATGGTGATAAAGATAATGATAAAGACGATGTTAAAACATAGGTTAATAAGTGAAAGATGGTTATAAAAAAATGCCAAGTATATTTGAAATAAACGATAATAAATTAAGATTTTTGTTTGTTTGTTTTTTTTTTTAATATAAAATTATTTAAATAAATAATTTGGATTTTTACACTTGGCATTTTTATTCCAAATTATATCTAATTTTGTACAGTAATTTTATTTTTTTATTTTTGTAATTGTAGTTAAAAGTTAACAGCACCGTCCAATTATAATTTTAAAAATAATATAAACCAAAAATACTTAAGAGATTTTTCATAATTCTTTGATTTGCAGTAATTGTTTTAAACATTATGATATAGGTATTTTAATTGACAATTTTTTTAAATGAAATAAATAGTTTTAATATCGATTTCTAGTTTTTTTATCGGTAAAATTGGGACGCCAAATTCATAGATTTTGAAAAAAAAAACCTGTTTCACTTGGTGAAATATTTGTAATTTTACCTTTCGCTAATAACACATCTAAAAGTGTTACTGGCTTCCCTACCAACTACAAGTAAATGATTAACAAACTGACAATAAAAAAAGCTACTTTATTACTTATTATTTTTAAATTTACGTCTTCCATATCTTATCTTCCATATTGACCGGAGCCGTGCATTTGACACGGTGGATCATAATCTCTTGTTACTTAAAATAGAAGGTATGGGAATACGGGGAAAACCTTACGATTGGGCTAAATCTTACTTATCAAACAGAACACAAGTAGTTATAACTGATAACAAGAAATCAACTCCTCTCAAATATACAATGGGAGTACCGCAGGGATCAATACTAGGGCCAGTATTTTTTATAATATTTGTTAGTGATATCAATAAATTTTGTACCAGTCCTCATCAGATTATCCAATATGCTGATGATACAAACATTCTTATGGCGGATCATCAATTTGAACACCTTGTGCAAAGCAGCAATAATGCATCTTTTGAATTTAACAAATATTCTAGAGAAAATGGTCTGGCATTGAATGTATCAAAAACTAACTTCATGCGTTTTCTACCCAAGAATACCACCCCAAATCTTGAACCGTACTTACATATTAATGGTAAATCTATACAAAATAGTGAAAATGTTAAATTTTTGGGAATTACATTAGACCCTAAGCTAACGTGGGAAGCTCACATAGATAATGTAACTAAAAAAATATGCTTCCATTGCTATGTTATTAGAAACTTAAGAGAAACTGTGACTTTTGATGTATTAAAGCTTCTTTATTATGGACTTGTGCAGTCTACTCTTCAATATGGTTTAATATTTTGGGGTGCATCATCTCACGTCAACAAAGCATTCGTGGCACAGAAAAAAGTAATGAGAGCTTTATATAATGTATCACCCACAACATCATGCAAATTACTTTTTGAAAAATCTGACATTCTACCACTACCATGTCTTTTCATCTACCAATTAATATTGTACGTTCAAGAAAATGAACATACTCTTAACAAAAACGAAAACATACATTCATATAACACTAGACAAAAAACTAACATACATCAACCTTTCTCACGCCTAGAAATTGCTCAACACTCACCCAAGTATATTGGAATTAAATGCTATAATAAATTCAGTAGCATAATAGATAAAAATAATAGTCCCGAAATAGACAAAATAAAACAGTTTAAGAATAAACTTAAAGTATTTTTAGCAAAAAATGTATTTTACAGTGTGGAGGAATTCCTTAATTTTAATCCTTAATTGTTATCTCTAATATATTATTGTGTTAGTTTAAGTGTATGTATTGCAATTAATCTGTATTATATTGTTTTAATTTTAAATTGACTAGTCTGTTAGTACTTATACATTAAAAAATTGTGTTTTGTTTTCTATGTATAATACTTATGACAAATAAAATTCTATTCTATTCTATTCTTTGTTAATTTTTTAAAATATATAGCTTATAGCGTGGAACAAAGAAATAAAATTATTGAAAAATACGTCGTTAGGATTCTCCCTAGCTTTTACAACAACATAATTTATCATTTTATTGGTGTCTCTCTTCGTTAAAAACATAATAGGCATTGTATAGGTTTTCCAAGACTTACTAACATTTGAGGTTAATTTTTGAGTTTACCTTACTTTTTTTATGACCAGTGAAAAGGATGTTTAATAAGCTTTTCAAAGAGGTATCACAAGTGGGTATTGTAATTTAAGATTTTTATGTCAGTATTGGTTGGGCTTAAGGGGGTGGTGTGGGGGTAGTTACTCAATAAAAAAATAGCCATTGTGTTTTTAAAGGCCCACCCTGTATATTATAAAATTCTACCGACGATAACTCACATTTTTAGAGTTACGAGATAACACTGTTCAAAGGTTTAATTCGAGAGACGCTAAAATGGTGGTTCCCACCCAGAGCTGAGGTACTCAGTACAAAAACGTATTTAAAATAAATAATCAGTATTTTTTTTACTTTAAGTATTTTACTTAAAGTATTTATGAACTAACGATACTTTTGCAAATGTACAGTTCATCAAATTTCTAGAGGTGTTCGACGCCCAGACAGAGAACGCGCTACGTGTGACTAAGATAGCTATTGTACAGTCTGCTAAACAAGTTATTTTAAATAGTTTTTAATATTTTTAGGTAATTAAATTTTAAAAGTGTGGAATAGTTTAGGAATTAAATTGGTCTGATTGGACTTTCTTAGAACGTTTTTAAAAGCAGCTAAAGATAGTATGTAGAATTGAAAATAATTATTAGGTATGCCATAAAAGGTGTTTTGGCCTTTGTAAATCGTGGAAATAGTTTATATTTTATTTCTACCTTATTAAGGAAAATGGTACCTATTATTAATAACGGTTATTTCTGAAACATTACTAAAATTTTCGAAATTTTGTTTTTCTACAAAATAATAAACTATACTATTTAGAAAAAAAATTATTTCTCTTATAATTTTATAAAAAATAACAGGGGAATATTTAGATTTCTTGATCTATTAAACAAAACGATAAATTATCTCGACGAATGACACCATGTTCTAGTACGGAAGCTAGCTTTACATTTTTGTTGGTGGTTTCATGTGTTTCATATCAATTTTTTGTAATTGTAGTTTACACGTACATATACCTCTTAACACTTGTTTGCTTTATTAAAAAAGTGTGTTGTGATTTACGTCGAAATAAGTCAAAAACAACTTGAAACCCCATATAAAATCAAAAAGGAGAAACGGAAAAAAATTGAGCCTGTAAATGAACACAACTCAGAAACAAAAATAGCTATCTAATAATAAAAAAATAAAATTTGATTCTTGTGCATCTTCGTTGTAAAAATAGATAATACTTTTTGATCTTAGGTACAGATATAATTTTAATGGTCTTCCGAAAAACTTTCTTCAGTTTCCATATCAGATTCAAAATCAGTCTCACTGTCACTGTTTAAGTTAATTATAAATCTATCAGTTGCCTCATCCAAAGTAACTTCTCTGTCATAAAATTTAGATTCCCACATTTTAGCATTATTACAACGAGATTGCCACTCCTCTTTAGAAAACGTATCAAAAAAGTCTTCACACAACAGTTGTACGTCTTGCCTCTTAAATGTAGTGTTGTTACTAGCTACATATTGTTTCAATGATGCCCACACTAATTCGATCGGATTAAGATCGGGATGATACGGTGGCAAACGCAAACAACTAAAACCATATTCATTTATCATTTCTTCAATTGCATACCTCTTAAATCGTGACTTATGCAATAGCACTAAACTGTATAATTGCGTTTTGAGCATATCCTCTTCGTAAGCAATATTATGATTCCTTAACCAATCCTGCATGTCAGCTTTTTTAGAAGTTGACGTTGGTGCTTTATTTACCTGGACATTATGGTAAGGAGCATTATCAACAATAATGACGCTTCTTGGAGGGAGGTTCGGAAACAGCTTTTCTTTCAACCATTTAGAAAAATTATTAAAATTCATTTCATCCACTTTTGGTTCCAGATTTGAAAATTAACCGGGCATTCGGAATAAAGCCCATTTTACCTCCTGCATGGACAATAATTAGTCTATCACCTTTATTAATTGGTTTCTTTAATCCCTCATTTGAATTATCACTCCAAGCTTTCTGGTGTGTGTGGGAGGCATTAATGTATGTTTCATCTAAGTAGACAATTGGACGGCCCTCTTCTCGATAACTTTTTAAACGAATCAGATAGTCTAAACGTAGCTTTTGAATATCAAACCTTTCCATTAATATTTTTCTGTTTGTTTTTGTTTTCCGCCAACGAAATCCTAGCGACTTTATTATTTTTCTTAAACTTTCATAGCTTCCTTTGTACCCCGTAGCTTCTCTAAATTTAGTCAGAATTGTTTTTAATATTGGAACAATATTTTCCGAGATTAACATGAACAGAATAATTCTTTTTAAAATACCTTTGTCAGCTTCATCTATATCATTAACTGTTTTTGGTTTTTTAATGGTTTTTCTTGGTGATGAAAATTCCGATATCTCACGGTTATCGATTCTTTTTTCTCTCCAGAAATGCGGACGACAGTGTTTTTAGATACTCCTGTGGCTGCAGCAACACGATCATTTACATTTTTAAATGGTATTGAAGGTGAATTAAAGTTTCCTTCTCTTCTCATAAACTCTATAACATTTTGGCTATTATTTCGCGAGATTGACTGTTAATCACGCGGCCTCTTAATTTGCTATTAAACTCCATACTTAGGTTCTATTAAACTGTAATGAGCAAAAAACACAAACGAAAATAAAAGAAATGTTTTAGCAAAATTTACATCTGACATTTACGTCTGAATAAAATAGTGAAATACTTGATGCGCAGAGTGTACTTTCATTGCGTAAATCCGTCGGCCCCGCCAACCGATGCCGTCGAAAGCCTCTAGAAATTTGATGAACTGTACTTATTACATTTGAAAAAAAGTACTTGTACTTAAATTAAAGCTTTTGTGGTAAGTATTACTTGTTACTTGAAAAATGTACTGGAAAATAGGAATCTACTTAAAGTTTTTTCTGAAAATACTTAAGTAATTTTTAACAGTAAGTACTTAAATGGAAAACACTTAAAGTACTTTTGAAACTATTTTAAGCACATATTTACTTTTAAAAATACTGCAACGCCAAACAAGCTAGGACTCGTGTTTCATATTACCCGGACAGTAAACAGTACAGTAAAGTGCCAGTAAACACGCTCAAACAAATCAAATCTTTGCGACACACGAAGTCTAAAGTGTGTCGATGCCGGACTTATAGTTCACCGATACCTGGTACTAATAATACACACAACCAAACTTATATCTGTTTATTTCTGAATAAACCTATTGTAAGGAAAAAATTTGATATCCAATTTTAGGATAAACCTTTTTATTCAAAACAAACATGATAATAAAGAAGAAACGATTGCTGCGATT